TCAGTGGTGAGTAGTGAGGGTGAGTGGCAGTTGTGAGTGGTGATTAGTGAGGGTGAGTGTTGAGGGTGAGTGGTTAGGGTGAGTAGTGAGTGGTGAGGGAGAGTGGTGAGGGTGAGTAGTGAGTGGTGAGGGTGAGGGTGAGTGGTAAGTGGTGAGGGTGATTGGTGAGGGTGTGATTGGTGAGGATCAGTGGTGAGTAGTGAGGGTGAGTGGTTAGGATTTGTGGTGATGGTGAGTGTTGATGTTGAGGGTGAGTGGTGAGGGTGAGTGGTGAATAGTAAGGGTGAGTATCTCAACACCCAACGACCCACTTCGTCCAAGACCACAACAACAAGCATTACCTCACTTCACCCCACTGTACTGTGCTTTCCTACATAGCAACAGAGGCGGGGGATGCGTGGCGCGCTAACTCAAGCCCTACACTTAGGATGATGATGGCTCCGATGTTGTTGCTTATGAGGATAGTGGTGTCACACACAGTGTACACACACGCAATAATGCTCACGTTCTTGTTGTAGCTGATCTTACCCACCCAAGGGATACCTGCAACAGAGGAAGACATTTAAAAGGAATCTAAAACAGGACCCTGCGGGGTGGGCTGGTAGGAATAATACTTAGTACCGGTACAGAGATATCGACCGGGTATAGAGGAGTTAAAGAAAAAATGACTGTATTCTAGTGTAACGTTAATTAAAAGTGTTTGTTTTGACAAGAAACGCTGTGAGATTTAAAGACTCGTAGTCTTTCATTTCCAACACCACCCTCAACACCACCCCTCCCACGGACGGACGGACGGACACATTAATCTATTGGTGGTCTGGTCCACTTCGTTCCTACCAGTATAAACTTAAACTCTAATCCCACTCCTCACCGTGCTCGCCCTCTCACTTTACCACTCCACGTGACGTCATCATCGCGAGACGCCAAGGGGTGTGTACCTCGCTAGTAACGTCATGTCACCAGTAAAATAAATAAAAATCAAGCAAAGCCACGCGCAATCACTCCCCATAAGGGCCTGCTTAATAAATGGCATATATCCATTATATCAGCCGCGAGTTCATTGTGTCCGGTTAAGTAGCCACGCCCAATCACTCAATGTCAGGGCCTGGCTCATTAACATAATTTATTCAGTGGGAGGTGGTTAAATTGCTAAGTGACGTCATGTCATCTCCACCGCCGTGTGATTCCGCGTGACGTCACAAAATCCCGCAAAGCTACTCGCAACTCAACTGAGATCCGAGGTGAGACGCTCACGTCGTGGTGGTCGTGGTCTTTTGATGGTGGTGTTGTCTATGTAGGTACAGCCTCGCGTCTATTGTTCTCGGGATATCACTGAGTGTAGCAGCGAGTATGAGATCGATGTCCAGGTTGGAACGTTACAGAGTGCGGCCTAGCCATGCTGGCCTTGCCTCCTGCCATCGCCTGATTGTATTTGCTTTAAGTTTTGTTTATTTGTATTTGTCCTCACCTGGCTGACTACTTTAAAACCATGTTCTTAAAAAATATATTTCTACTATTTTGAGCTATATATCTCTTTCAGAAGTTACCTGCCCACATCGAAGTGGCTTGTGTGGAAATTTACAGCAGCCAAATGCTCTAAATGCGACCACGCAGAAAGAGAGACAAGCAAACTCCAAATAAACAAGCGTCGGGATCCAACCCACGACCTCTTGTATACCGGGCGATGTAGTGAAAATCTCGCCAGGGTGGTGCACACTCGAGTGCTTTATCACACTGAGTCTCTATACTTCAGTTCAGGAGGGTCCTGCCGAGTTGGTTTGGCAGTCTCGGGGGGAGGGGCGAAGCTTATTTGCGTATTGAGTAAACTGGAAGGCATATGTTCAGCATTGCAATATTTGAACGATACCAGTCCAGAAGTTTATTTCCCAAGTGAAGTCCATTGAACTAAGAAGTTTATTTTCAAGTGCGACTGAGCCGACAGACATAAAATGATTTACCGTAATAATAATTAAGCTCACTCACTGGCCCACTCATCTGTCCACTCATCTACTCATCCATCCACTCTCCCACTCACTCATCCATCCATTCGCCCACACAAGCACACTCACCTCTTCACACACTCACTCGCCCGCTCACTCGCCTTCCCACTCACCCACACTCACTGGCCCACTCACAATCAGAAGTTAATTTCACGAGTAACACCCATTGAGCTTAGACGCATTTTTTAAGGGCGACTTGGCGGGCATACATCAACGCATTCCAAAACTAGACCTCTGCTTTCTTATGTAATCAAGGCCTAAATACCATGAAAAAGCTTCGGCTTTTGGTCGTCCCTTGTTTTCGATATCCCTGCCCCTTTGCTCACATTCATTAAGGATTTTCATGATTTTGGGCAGGCCCGGAAAAAGCTGCGTGACAAGGATTCGGAGCCGTTTCCTGTTCAAGTTGGCGTGTGACAGGAATTCCCTCTGGCCACATACATTACGGTAAGTCCCCGGGTAGCGGAAGACCCGACTTACTGAAATCCAACCTTATGGACATGCTCCCATAAATCATGTAAAAAAAAAATCAACATGCGGTTATTTTTGCTTTAGTTAAGCGCAAGTAGTCCAGCGCGGTGAGGTTGTGGATGAATACCGCGGAGCGAGGCATAAGGCAGGCAGCATCTTCCCCAAGGCGGTGGTGTGTCGCCGCTCTGCACTCTCAGTCATGCTGTTACAGTGTTACCGTGCATATATTGTACCCGCTACATCGTCTCGTAACTTTCAGTGTAACGTCACTCATAATTGCAATAATGACTGGAAAAGATTAAGGTAAATGAAATTTTTTGTAGCATTACCTAATTCTTATTCTTTTGGACCATTATGTAATCTTGGTTTTCTGTGCTTAGAACTATCTTGTTTTTCCCTTGTTTCTCTTTATGGTTTTCATTGGAAGTTTATTTCAATAGTTATTTACATTATGTACTTAATTTAAATTTGGACTTAACTTTCGTGACCGCAGGAATTCATATTCTTGGTTCTTTCGGTAAAGTCACGTAGATAGAAAATTAAATAAAAATCATAGATAATCAAATTATTTAACACAATTACACTTTCGATTGCTTATGGTCTCAGCCAACAGCGATCGGAGAGTTCTAGGCCTCGTCTATTGCCCGGTAAATGAATATTCGGAAGTGACTTTTCTGTTATCAATTAATATTAATGTCTCATGGTGTTCATAAATAATTGGATAAGTATATATTTTATTAGTTTAATTATGGGTAGTGTTAGGGTAGATATTCTATTAAATGAAATAATCATATGAAGTGCAGAACGTATGTACAGAAATACGATACAGGTCGCGATAGAAAACGTACTATAGCGCGATACAGTACTGAGAGAAAATGAATAAGTAATTGGGTAGGGGCGTGTTGTATATGTCGGGTCTTGAAAAATTAATAAAGATAATAAAAAATTAAATGAAAAATTTAAAACGTGTAATTACCTGAAATTAGGCTAAGTTGTGTAATTATGCAAATTTGTATATGCTAATTGTGGGTGTAATTATATTAAGTTATACAAGTGTATGCAATTATGCTAATCTATGCAATTATGATAATTAGGCTAGGCAGTGTTGTCTAGGGTTGTATTATCAATCAGGATAATAAAATGAATTGTATGAAACTCTGCAAGTGTGATATAAGTATGCCGATTAAGCTCGGCTTCGTTCTCTAGGGTTTTATTATCAATCGGGATAATACAATGATTCTTGCTTTAACTTTTACTGATTATGTCTTAGTGTGTTTATGTCAGGTCTCAATATTCAGATATCACCGCAGGATACAGTTCTTATAATTAAGATTATTATGCATGAACTTAGGAAGGCACCACTTAGACGCTTCTGTGTTAAGCAACTTTAAACTCTAAACAAAAACACTCTAATATGCAAACTTTCATGCTAGGAATGTCAACACGGTACTCCTCATTGATCCGTACATTTAACCCTCAATGATTACGTTTGTTAAACTGGGTAACAGAACAATTGGTTAATTCCTCAGGGTAAAGCGAGCATTTACGGCGATGGGAAAAAGTCCTTAAAAATTAATGTGACAATATTTATGCAAATAGCAATAAAGAAACATGTCCCGAAAGCAAAAGTAGACCTCAATGAATTCATTGGTAAGATTATGCAATTAACGAAATGTCTTGGAACAATGGTGTGCGGCAGTGTGCCTGCTTCAGCAAATGCTTATCAATTGGCTAAGGCTTCAATAAATTTGCGGGCAAGATTCTGTGATCAAATAAAAGAGTTTAACACAATAATAACCCTGAGTGTGTAGATTCGTACAGTTAGGCAATTAACAAAAATAATGACTAAAATACTTCTCAACGACCATATCCACGTAACTCAATGGGTGAAACACAAGGAGAACTTTTGGAGTACTCTTATTAGTCCCGCTATGTGTGCGTGGGTGGATTGTCTCCTCTTTGCGTTAAGCAGACACCGAGGTTGGGCGTTTCTTGTACCAAAAATTAGTTTGTTCCCTGCTGAGCGATGAGTCGTGTGTGTGGGCGTGTCATACACATGGCGCTCTCGCTCTCTCTCGCTCGGCAGCAGCTGCAGGCTCCTTTCACTGCTGGATGAGCTGAGTCGGCATGACGCTTGTCTTGGAAAGTGCTCGATCGCGCTCGGTGGAGCTGGTTGCGCTGGTTGAGAGCTCTCTTCTACTCCGAGCTCTCTGGCGATGCACAATTGCGCTCGCAGCTCGTCCGCTGCAGCTGGTCCTCTGCGATGCTGGCTTGGACGATGCTTGGCGCTTTCCGCCCTTTCTCCAGGATGATTGCTTGTCGTTGCTCGTCACTCTTTCTCTCTTGCTCTCTCCTTGATCGTGCAGCTGACAACTTCGCGCGGGCATTCAGTGGTGCCTCTCCCACCCTTCCTTCAGGGCTTCGCCTCGTCGTTGCTCAACTTCCGTGCTCTCCGCCCATCCTCCAAGAGGGCTCCTGCTGTGAGCTGCTCGTCGCTGGCTGGGTCACTCACTCTCAAAACTTGTAAATTGTATTTGCACACCTCTTACACAACTCTGATAGCTTAGTACAATACAACTTATCACAATCCTTGACTCAAGACATCAGGATATCAGGATAAATGTAGAATACAACTTTCAGCGATACTCTGTCGGTCCATGCCGAACTCAGCACCTAGCAACACCTCGCCCCTATTCTCTGCGAGACACAACAAATATGGTTAATCTCGAGGCCATGCCCCGGAGCCTGCCCCTCACAGTACTAATCAGTGTCTTTGCTTGTATGTGAAATTCTCTCCCCTCTCTGCGCGTCTCTTGCGAGAGAAAAAAAACATGCCCTCTGTCTCGTTCTCCTCCCGTGGCCGCAGCTGCCTGGTTGCCCCCCCCCCCCCTTTTGAAATTTGCCTGGCTGCTTTCGATCACCTTGTTTTTGTTTGCATTCCCCCCCTCTGCCTTCGTGGTGTTTGCTATCTCGAGGAGAGACACCCTTCATACGTTTATTGCTATCATGTGTTGTGTCATTGTTGATTCCATGGAATACATATTATCTGGTCTTGTATGTTTGACCTATTTTCGTTGTATCTGTTTTGAGTTACCCTAGGTCTAATACCTCATGATTATTATTTGGTTTATATTTAACCAAGATTTCTAATGTACCATTAGTTGTCATCTCCGGTATTTCAAGGGTTTTATTAACCTTTGCTCCCTGTCTGTATACAGGGATACGTGCTTTTTATTCTTGAGTTATATTTTGATATCCTGAGGTTGGAGATGTATCTAAGTTTCCACAAACGCTTTCTTGACTACCGGAATTCATATTACTTGGTTCATGTAGATAGAAAGATACAATAAGAAATAAAATAAGTAATACTGCAGTCTATAATGTCGACTTATTGTTATAGCCAAGCTTCAAACTTTTACCGTATTAAAAAAAAACTCTACTTGTAATGTCCGTTTGCCCTGTGCTCTGCGTCTGTGCCAGTGAATCTGGATATTTGTTTGTGAACTGTCCAAAACGTCCGTGGAGGTCATGTCATGCGGTCCTTTGACAATGTGGAGATTTCCCAGATCGCCGTTAACCCCTCTCTTTGCCCTGGAGTTTATTATTGAATGGCTCTTTATGACCTCCATATGCTTGGTGTGGCTTGTGGGAGGTAGCGGGGTTGAGGGTGTTTGTTTCATTTTTTATCGATTATTATTACAAAAAATATTGGCAGAATTACAGTGATACCTCGGTTCACGAACTTAATTCGTGAACTGACTCTGGTCGCGAACCGAATTGGTCGTGAACCGAGGCACATTTTCCCATAGGGTTCAATGTAAATCCGGTTAATCCATTCTGACCTTTTTTTTGGTTTTTGAAGCACAAAAATATGAAACAAATTACAATACACATTAGTACTGTACAGTATAGTAATGTATAAAGAGAGAACACTAACCTTGCTTGAGATGACTTCAGTAAGCACTCAAACGGGTGAACTGTACAATACAGTAAGTACAGTATTGTACAGTACAGTAGTAGAGTACAGTACTGTATATGCTAAAAAGCACACCAAAAAAGCAAAAAGTCACTGAAAGTGTCTTCACAGTACTCACAGTACTTCTTTCTGTGTCTCTTCTTCTCTCCACGATCTTCCTATAGGAAGTCACGACCATGTGACAGCCTGGAAATAGCATTAAAATGGCCGCGGCTCCTGTTCGTGAACCGAAGCGGAGTTCGTGAACCGGAGCATATTTTTATGAACTTTTCTGTTCGTAAACCGAGTTGTTCGTGAACAGAAGCGTTCGTGAACCGAGGTATCACTGTATTCTTAATATAAATTTTGGAAAAAGGCCTATATATACATCTTCAGCCCCGATGGTTTCCACCAAGTTGATACCTGAACAGTCAACCCCGATGGTTTCCACAGTCGGCCCCAATGTCATCCACCTCTGGTCGTCAATTAGTAAGCTCCCCGACCGCGGGCCTCACTCCACTTTATATACTCGCTCGGCCCCGCCCCTATCAGACAATGCCCCCCCCACTTTACTATAACATGTGTGTCCTGAATTGAATAATTCTTACAGTGCCTTCTGGTCACCTGTTTCCAATCATCATAATGCACGCCTTTTAGAACCTTCCTTTGTACAGGCCCCGACACATGGAACGTTTCATAAACATGGAAAACATAGCACATGAACCTGAAATTACATCTGTCCATCCGAGTATTCAAGCAAATTTGAGCCTGGCTTCAGACTTCCAAGGTGCAATTGAACATTAATTTGTCCATTTTATAATATTTCTGGCCAATGCAAATAGTTTTATTTTTAACACCATTTGCTCTTTTTATCAGACTTTTCAATAGTTAACATTTCTTCAGTAGCCAGATACAACCGAAATTCTGTAGGTAGACTTACGGTTATCATTGATATTAAATATACAGTAAAACCTTGGATTGCGAGCATAATTCGTTCCGGACACGTGTTTGTAATCCAAAGCACTCGTATATCAAACCACTCGTATATCAGTTGTGATCACGTGACGCTCGGCAGACAAAGCGTATACATACTACTCGTATTGCAAGACCTCGCTCGTTTATAAACTTAATTTTTATTTAAAATTTTTGCTCATCTTGCAAAACACTTGCAGACCAAGTTACTCGCAATCCAAGGTTTTACTGTACTAGCGCCTCCAGGCATTATACTGACCACTTGCTTGCTATGCTAGGCCAAGAGCTGATCGTCAATTGTAGATAGTGCCTTAAAACAGCCTGTGTGTTGCATTGGGGGTGATTTTTTTTATTTCTCGTTAATGTTTGAGTGTTCTTGTCTATGTAATACTTGAATATCATGTGTGACTGTATATATATGCAATATCCCCAAACCTTTATGAACATTTTGCTTTTAGAGGCTAACTCCTCTGCCTGATGACAACCGCTTGAGTTGCGATCGAAACGTCGTGATATTTTTATTCACTTTATTTATATTGTTATATCTACGTGACTTTACCGAAAGAACCAAAGAATATGAATTCCTGCAGTCACGAAAGTTTTAAGTAAAAAAATCACATGTGACTATATATATATACATTTCTATGCTTCTATGCTGACATACAATGTGTGGATATTACTGTTTTCTGTCTGCAGCTGCCAGTTCCTCTGCCACTTTGCTGTACAGAATTGGTCAGATGGAGCGAAGACAATCAGCAGGAGAGAAACCATTCAAGTGCACTGTGTGTGTGAAGGTCTTTGCACAATCATCAAATCTTAAAAGACACCAGAGAATACACACAGGAGAAACACCCTTCAAGTGCACTGTGTGTGGGAAGGCATTTGCAATGTCATCACATCTTATAATACACCAGAGAAGTCACACAGGAGAAACACCCTTCATGTGCACTGTGTGTGGGAAGGCCTTTACACAGTCATCAAATCTTAAAAGACACCAGAGAATACACACAGGAGAAACACCCTTCAAGTGCACTGTGTGTGGGAAGGCATTTGCACATTCACCAAATCTTAAAACTCACCAGAGAATACACACAGGGGAAACACCCTTCAAGTGCACTGTGTGTGGGAATGTGTTTGCACGTGCATCGCATCTTAAAACACACCAGAGAATACACACAGGAGAAAGACCCTTCAAGTGCACTGTGTGTGGGAAGGCGTTTGCATATTCATCACATCTTAAAACACACCAGAGAATACACACAGGAGAAACGCCCTTCAAGTGCACTGTGTGTGGGAAGGCGTTTGCACGTTCATCACATCTTAAAACACACCAGAGAATACACACAGGAGAAACGCCCTTCAAGTGCACTGTGTGTGGGAAGGCGTTTGCACATTCATCATATCTTAAAACACACCAGAGAATACACACAGGAGAAACACCCTTCAATTGCACTGTATGTGGGAAGGTGTTTGCATGTTCATCACATCTTAAAATACACCAGAGAATACACACAGGAGAAAGACCCTTCAAGTGCACCGTGTGTAGGAAGGCGTTTGCAGATTTATCACATCTTAAAACACACCAGAGAATACACACAGGAGAAATGCCCTTCAAGTGCACTGTGTGTGAGAAGGCGTTTGCACTTTCATCACATTTTTATAGACACCAGACAATACACACAGGAGAAACGCCCTTCAAGTGCACTGTGTGTGGAAAGGCGTTTGCACGTTCATCATATCTTAAAATACACCAGAGAACACACACAGGCGAAACGCCCTTCAAGTGCACTGTGTGTGGGAAGGCGTTTGCACGTTCATCATATCTTAAAATGCACCAGAGAACACACACAGGAGAGAAACCATTCAAGTGCACTGCATGTGAGAAGGAATTTTCATGGTCATCATGTCTTAAAAAACACCAGCAAACACACACAGGAGAAGAACCCTTAAAGTGCACTGTGTATGGGAAGGCATTTGCAGAGTCATCACATCTTAAAATACACCAGAGAATACACACAGGAGAAACACCCTTCAAGTGCACTGTGTGTGGGAAGGTGTTTGCACGTTCATCACATCTTAAAATACACCTGAGAATACACACAGGAGAAAGACCCTTCAAGTGCCTTGTGTGTGGGAAGGCATTTGCACATTCACCACTTCTTAAAATACACCAGAGAATACACACAGGAGAAACACCCTTCAAGTGCACTATGTGTGGGAAGGTGTTTGCACGTTCATCACATCTTAAAACACACCATAGAACACACACAGGAGAAAGACCCTTCAAATGCACTGTGTGTAGGAAGGCATTTGCACATTCATCACATCTTAAAAGACACCAGAGAATACACACAGGAGAAACGCCCTTCAAGTGCACTGTGTGTGGGAAGGCGTTTGCACGTTCATCAAATCTTAATATACACCAGCGAATACACACAGGAGAGAAGCCATTCAAGTGCACTGCATGTGAGAAGGAATTTTCACGGTTATCGTATCTTAAAAAACACCAGCAAACACACACAGGAGAAGAACCCTTCAAGTGCACTGTGTATGGGAAGGGTTTTCGACAGTTAGGGGATCGAAACAAGCATCAAACCATTAATCAGGAAATGAATCTGAAATCGGCTTGTGGAAGTCAAAGTGTTGCAATGAGTTCATCCCTCATGAAACAAGAATCAGAAAAACATTTGAGATACGAAACGTGGCCAGGAGTGAAGATGAAATGTCAAGAAGTGAAAATGAAATTTGAATTGGCGAAGGTGAAAAGTGAAGTAACGGTCAAGAGTGAAGAAGTGTTAGTAAAATGTGAGGATGAAGATTCAACTCCAAAATCCGACCTTCACGTCGATCGAGGCAGCTTTAAGCTGGAGGATACTGTGGACTCTGAGGCAGAGCGAGGCAACTCCCAGCAATTTGTGGATGTGGAGGTGTGGGTGGATTTTTTAGGCAATACTGAGTCAAATGGAGACCAAGTAGATGTTTATCATTGAGCTTAGGATAAAAAAAGTTCCATTTCATTCATGGGCCTTTCGCATGATAAAGTTTTTTTTAGTTAGATCGCATAAATATATAAATTTGTCGTTAAAACCCACCACGAACTGTGAACCTCTTTAAACAAATATCAACCGTGCTATCACTTGGTTTCTCTCATTCTACGAATGCATGTAGGTGTAGACATCCATTCAGAGAACAGAGTACAGTAAATCTGCTGTAATGTGATGCAGTATATTTTAATGCAATAGTGCAATGTTGGCAATGTGTCTCTTGATAATTTAGTGATAATTTTTAACACGTATGATCTGATTTAGAGCATATACAGCAAAAGCTCTTATCCACCATCTATGGGGAATCGAGGATGCCAGTTCATCAAATTTACCGGTTATCTGAAAGGTATACTTAATGTTTTAGTAAATTATTTCAAGTATAAAAACATTTTTCAACGAAGAAATTAAGCATACATTTTAACTATGATATTCAAAATAATTAACTCTTTTACAGAGGTACTCACCAGTCATTTGTATAGCATTCTAAGTTAATTGTAGAGAAGCAATGGTGCTGTTTAGATTACAGTATACAGTAGTGCAGTACTGTCTTCCAAGAACAGTGCAACAATTAGGCAGCCCACAACACGATCACAATGCTGGCAAGATGCCAGCATTTTTCTTTATACTTGAAGGAATATTTATATTGCCGTATTACAGATGCCGGTTAATAGAGCATTCCGGATGGTAAAGTACGCGATAGAGATTTTGCTGTACATGCCATCTTACCTATAAACGTCACTTTTTGTCTGTCTGTCCGTCTGTCTGCGTACGCTCGCTTGCGAGGGATTTGGCGCTCGGGCCGTGGGGTTTAGGACGAAAAAAATTTGCCGGGAGGCACGTCCCGTGCAACGGGCAGCAACACCGTCGCTGCGGGGTGGACGCAATTTTTAATTCCCGTTAAAAATATGCACACGCGTTAACATGCAACGCTGAGGTAAATTAATCAAAGTTTCACGTCCTCTTCACTCCCCCCCACTCCAGTGTGCGCAATTACTATTATAGGGTCGGTAGATAATAAAATTATAGCGATTAGACAGTATTCTAGCGCGGGGGGGGGGGGGGTAGCGGGCCCAGCACCCAGCCTTGGCCGGGTGGGCAATCTAGGCGAGGCCGGAGGCTCTGCACGGTACTAGGCCTCGACACCCCACACGTGTCAGGCGAGGACTTTGAGCTATAAACTCGATATACCCAGCGTTGCCCGGGGGAAAAATACATTTAAAATACAACTGTGTAATTAAGTTTAAACCCGACCGCGCCAAGAATCGATTCTCTGGTGAGCGTGAGTGGTGAGGGTGTGTGGGGAGGGTGAGTGCTGAGGGTGTGGTGAGAGTGAGTGGTGAGGGTGAGTGGTGCGGGTGAGTGGTGATGGTGAGTGGTGAGGGGTGAGTGGTGAATAGTAAGGGTGAGTGGTGAGGCTTAGTAGGTAGGGTGAGTGGTGAGGGTAAGTGGTGATGGTGAGTAGTGAGGGTGAGTGGTTAGGGGTGAGTGGTGAGGGTAAGGGTGAGTGGTCAGTGGTGAGTAGGAAGGGTGAGTGGTGAGGGTGAGTGGTGGATGGTGAGTGGTAAGGTTGAGTGGTGAGTAGGAAGGGTGAGTGGGGAGGGTGAGTGGTCAGGGGTGAGGGTTAGTGGTGAGGTTGAGTGGTGAGTAGGAAGGGTGAGTGGGGAGGGTGAGTAGTCATTGGTGAGGGGTCAGGGTTAGTGGTGAGGGTGAGTGGGGAGGGTGAGTGCTGAGGGTGTGGTGAGAGTGAGTGGTGAGGTTGAGTGGTCAGTAGTGAGGGTGAGTCGTAAGGGTGAGTGGTGAGGGTAAGTGGTGATGGTGAGTAGTGAGGGTGAGTGGTGAGGGTAAGGGTGAGTGGTGAGGGTGAGTGGTGGGTGGTGAGTGGTAAGGTTGAGTGGTGAGTAGGAAGGGTGAGGGTGAGTGGGGAGGGTGAGTGGTCAGGGGTGAGGGTTAGTGGTGAGGTTGAGTGGTGAGTAGGAAGGGTGAGTGGGGAGGGTGAGTAGTCATTGGTGAGCGGTCAGGGTTAGTGGTGAGGGTGAGTGGGGAGGGTGAGTGCTGAGGGTGTGGTGAGGTTGAGTGGTCAGTAGTGAGGGTGAGTGGTAAGGGTGAGTGGTGAGGAAGAGTGGTGAGTAGTAGTGGTGAGGGTTAGCGGTGAGTGGTGAGGGTGAGTGGTTAGGGTTTGTGGTGATGGTGAGTGGTGAGGGTGAGTAGTGAGTGGTGAGGGTGAGTGGCGGTTGTGAGTGGTGAGGGGTGAGCGTGAGTGGTGAGGGTGAGTAGTGAGCGGTGAGGGTGAGTGGTGATTGGTGAGGATGAGTGGTGAGTAGTCAGGGTGAGGATGAGTGGTGAGTAGTGAGGGTGAGTGGGGTGGGTGAGTGGCGGTTGTGAGTGGTGATTAGTAAGGGGTGAGTGGTGAGGGTGAGCGTAAGTGATGAGGGTGAGCAGTGAGGGTGTGATTGGTGAGGATGAGCGGTGAGGGTGAGTGGTTGTTGTAAGGGTGAGTGGTGAGGGTGAGTGGCAGTTGTGATGGGTGAGTAGTGAGCGGTGAGTGGTGAGCATGAGTGGTGAGGGTGAGTGCTGAGTGGTGAGAGAGTGGTTAGTTTTGAGGGTGAATGATGAGGGTGAGTGGTGAGTGGTTAGGGTGAGTAGTGAGCGTGAGTGGTGAATGGTGAGCGAGAGTGGTGAGGGTGAATGGTGAGGGTGAGTGGTGAGGTTGGTGAGTAGGAAGGGTGAGTGGGGAGGGTGAGTAGTCATTGGGGAGGGGTCAGGGTTAGTGGTGAGGGTGAGGGTGAGTGGTCAGTAGTGAGGGTGAGTGGTGAGTAGTAGTGAGGGTGAGGGTTAGTGGTGAGGGTGAGTGGTTAAGGTTTGTGGTGATGGTGAGTGGTGAGGGTGAGTAGTGAGTGGTGAGTGGTGAGGGTGAGTGGCGGTTGTGAGTGGTGAGCGTGAGTGGTGAATGGTGAGGGTGAGTGGTGAGCGGTGAGCAGTGAGGGTGAGTGGTGATTGGTGAGGATGAGTGGTGAGTAGTCAGGATGAGGGTGAGTGTTGAGGGTGAGTGGTTAGGGTGAGTAGTGAGCGTGAGTGGTGAGGGAGAGTGGTGAGGGTAAGTGGTGAGGGTGAATGGTGAGTGGTGAGGGTGAGTAGTGAGGGTGAGTGGTAAGTGGTGAGGGTGAGTGGTGTGATTGGTGAGGATGAGTGGTGAGTGGGGTGGGTGAGTGGCGGTTGTGAGTGGTGATTAGTGAGGGGTGAGTGATGAGGGTGAGCAGTGAGGGTGTGATTGGTGAGGATGAGTGGTGAGTGGTCAGGGTGAGTGGTGAGCGGTGAGGGCGAGTGGTTGTTGTAAGAGTGAGTGGCAGTTGTGAGTTGTGATGGGTGAGTGGTGAGCAGTGAGGGGTGAGTGGTGAGTGCTGAGTGGGGAGAGTGGTTAGTTTTGAGGGTGAATGATGAGGGTGAGTGGTGAGTAGTGAGGGTGAGTGGTGAGTGGTTAGGGTGAGTGGTGATTGGTGAGGATGAGTGGCGAGTAGTGAGGGTGAGTGGGGAGGGTGAGTGGCGGTTGTGAGTGGTGATTAGAGAGGGGTGAGTGGTTAGGGTAAGCAGTGAGGGTAAGGGTGTGATTGGTGAGGATGAGTGGTGAGCGGTGAAGGTGAGTGGTGAGCGGTGAAGGTGAGTGGTTGTTGTAAGGGTGAGTGGTGAGGGTGAGTGGCAGTTGTGAGCGGTGAGTGGTGAGCGTGAGTGGTGAGGGTGAGTGGCAGTTGTGAGTTGTGATGGGTGAGTGATGAGCGGTGAGGGGTGAGTGGTGAGCATGAGTGGTGAGGGTGAGTGCTGAGTGGTGAGAGAGTGGTTAGTTTTGAGGGTGAGTGGTGAGGGTTAGTGGAGAGTGGTGATTGGTCAGTGGTGATTGGTCAAGATGAATGGTGAGTAGTGAGGGTGAGGTTGAGTGGTGAGGGTGAGTGGTGGTTGTGACGGTGAGTGGTGAGGGTGAGTGGAGATGGTGAGGGTGAGTGGTGAGTAGTAAGGGTGAGTGGTGATTAGTGAGGGGTGAGTGGTGAGGGTGAGCATAAGTGATGAGGGTGAGCATAAGTGATGAGGGTGAGCAGTGAGGGTGTGATTGGTGAGGATGAGTGGTGAGTGGTCAGGGTGAGTGGTGAGCGGTGAGGGTGAGTGGTGAGGGTGAGTGGCAGTTGTGAGTTGTGATGGGTGAGTGGTGAGCGGTGAGGGGTGAGTGGTGAGTGCTGAGTGGTGAGAGTGGTTAGTTGTGAGGGTGAATGATGGAGGGTGAGTGGTGAGGGTGAGTAGTGAGGGTGAGTGGTTATGGTGAGTAGTGAGCGTGAGTGGTGAGCGTGACTGGTGAATGGTGAGGGAGAGTGGTGAGGGTGAGCATAAGTGATGAGGGTGAGCATAAGTGATGAGGGTGAGCAGTGAGGGTGTGATTGGTGAGGATGAGTGGTCAGGGTGAGTGGTGAGCGTGAGTGGTGAGGGTGAGTGGTGATTGGTGAGGGTGTGATTGGTGAGGATGAGTGGTGAGTAGTGAGGGTGAGTGGGGAGGGTGCGTGGCGGTTGTGAGTGGTGATTAGAGAGGGGTGAGTGGTGAGGGTAAGCAGTGAGGGTAAGGGTGTGATTGGTGAGGATGAGTGGTGAGCGGTGAAGGTGAGTGGTGAGCGGTGAAGGTGAGTGGTTGTTGTAAGGGTGAGTGGTGAGGGTGAGTGGCAGTTGTGAGCGGTGAGTGCTGAGTGGTGAGCGTGAGTGGTGAGGGTGAGTGGCAGTTGTGAGTTGTGATGGGTGAGTGATGAGCGGTGAGGGGTGAGTGGTGAGCATGAGTGGTGAGGGTGAGTGCTGAGTGGTGAGAGAGTGGTTAGTTTTGAGGGTGAGTGGTGAGGTTGAGTGGTGAGGGTTAGTGGAGAGTGGTGATTGGTCAGTGGTGATTGGTCAAGATGAATGGTGAGTAGTGAGGGTGAGGTTGAGTGGTGAGGGTGAGTGGAGATGGTGAGGGTGAGTGGTGAGTAGTAAGGGTGAGTGGTGATTAGTGAGGGGTGAGTGGTGAGGGTGAGCATAAGTGATGAGGGTGAGCATAAGTGATGAGGGTGAGCAGTGAGGGTGTGATTGGTGAGGATGAGTGGTGAGTGGTCAGGGTGAGTGGTGAGCGGTGAAGGTGAGTGGTGAGGGTGAGTGGCAGTTGTGAGTTGTGATGGGTGAGTGGTGAGCGGTGAGGGGTGAGTGGTGAGTGGTGAGAGTGGTTAGTTGTGAGGGTGAATGATGGAGGGTGAGTGGTGAGGGTGAGTAGTGAGGGTGAGTGGTTATGGTGAGTAGTGAGCGTGAGTGGTGAGCGTGACTGGTGAATGGTGAGGGAGAGTGGTGAGGGTGAGCATAAGTGATGAGGGTGAGCAGTGAGGGTGTGATTGGTGAGGATGAGTGGTGAGTGGTCAGGGTGAGTGGTGAGCGTGAGTGGTGAGGGTGAGTGGTGATTGGTGAGGGTGTGATTGGTGAGGATGAGTGGTGAGTAGTGAGGGTGAGTGGGGAGGGTGCGTGGCGGTTGTGAGTGGTGATTAGTGAGGTTGAGTGGTGAGGGTGAGTGTTGAGGGTGAGCAGTGAGCAGGGGCGGTTTCTTCATTAGGGCGATTGGGCGACGCACCACCAATGTCATTCAACCACAGAGTCACGCTAGCCGTCACTGCAGCCTCTGGATATAGTCCAATCAGCGTCATGTCACGTTCTGTGGAGTACCGCCTCTTTTTGGGCGATTTCACTCCGGCTGAGAATCGCCCCGAGTGGCCCCATATACTTACATTCAAAGATATTTTTTTTCGAACGGGGGCGCTGCAATCCATTCTCTATGGCTTCCGGGAGGGCTCGTCCTAGCGTGCTTACGTCATCATACGTGCTTACGTCATCATACGTAAGCACGTTTCATCCAACAATATAATTTGTGGCCACCTAGTGGAATCTTTAATAAAATAAACTTGAGTGGTTTGTTTTAATAGTGAGTATAGAAACAAACAAGATGTATTGTAAGAGTCACTTTATTTTTCATTAATATTAAAGAAGTGAAGTTGCCTTTACATGCTTAAGCTGTTAATTTATCCATTGCATGGGTGGACCTTATCCTTATCAATCATCCAGACATTTGCCCCCCCTGAGAGATTTTGCAGGAGCCGCCACTGGCAGTGAGGGTGTGATTGGTGAGGATGAGTGGTGAGGGTGAGTAGTGATGGTGAGTGGTGAGGGTGAGTAGTGATTGTTGAGGGTGTGATTGGTGAGGATGAGTGGTGAGTAGTGAGGGTGAGTGGTTAGGATTTGTG